AATGTGTCAGGTGCCTTTAAGGTTCATGAGAAATCATGGGTTTGATTACTCAAGGAATAGGCCAAAAAAATGTATCACAATCTGGTGCTGAACCTGGGAGGGACTATGTGATGGCATATTCCAAGTGGGACTGGTATTCAGAACACACACAGAATCACAGAATACTCTGAGTGCACTTCAGGATGCTCAGTGACAGTGAGACCAAAACAGTTCTTTGTAGACATGTTTTTTGCTTTGGAGTAACCTGTCTTAAAATTAGAGTTCATGAGTTAAAATAGAGATCCCAGCATCCTGTGGATCTTCAGATGCTAATAAGCTCCAGGCCTTTAGATCACTTCTGTTGGCTGTTACTTTTGTCACATGTATATTATAATAACCTAAATGATGCTTACAAAGGAGCTGACATTACTGGTTTCCAGTTATTAGTTATGTCCTTGCTGTGAATTGAAAGATATGAATAATTCTCTTTTTTTTTTCTTTACGTGCTACTCTAAAAAGAGGGAAAAAATTTCCAATTAAAGCTTTTAAAATTTCTCTATGGGAGAGTTATTAATACCCAGAAACTTAATCTGTTGGTTTTTTTTTTTTTTTTCCTTTTTCTTTCTCTGCACTATGTCTCACACTGGTGTTTAGGACACCAGTAATCACCCTTTGATATTTTTCCATCACCTGTTATGAAGTGACCAAATGCCATCCACGCATTTCTGCATGAACAGGAATCCTGTCACCAAAGACAGGCAGAAGCACCTTTTATTTCTGGCTCTGCTAAAGAAAGACCAGATCCATGACTGAGCATTTTGAGACTGGATGATAAATAATGTTCTGATGACTCAACATGCAAGTGCTCAGCTGGCCTTGGTATCTCTTGAGTCCCTGGAAAGCACAGCTTTATAACCACAGAAATGAGGGACAAACCATATTGGCAGCCCTAAAGGTTCTTGTCCAACACCACCACACAAAGCAGGGCTGACTTAAAAGTTAGACCCAGCTTGAAAGTTACACTATGTTAGAAAAGTTTGTATTCAGAGAAGTTCTAAATAAATCCATGGCCAGAGTTCCAGTGCAGAGATTGTACCTCTGCTGGACTAAAACCAGAAGCTTTGGGTAAATGAGAAACAATTGTCTGTCAGTGCCAAATACTGTTTAGATTGTGGAGAGAAAGCTAAAGTGACATGGAAAAATGGAAATTTCCTGCAACTCTCTGTAATGTTGATTCTTCTGCAGTATTTGCTATATGTGAGTGTGTCATGTTTGCAGTGGAAAGTTTGCAGCATTTATGCACAATCTGCAGGCATGGATTGGTAGAAAGTGCAATAATCTACCAAAAGAAAACCTTGCACAGGTCTTGTAAACATCACTTAGCAGCTAGGAAGTGCACAATAGGTCTGAGAGGGTGTAAGAGAACAATAAAAAATTTTCCTAAATGAAAGGGGGGGGAAAGTGGTTTTGGAAATCTGCATTAAGTCTTTGTTTTGCTGATGATCTGTGTGTAGAAACATCTGCTGTTGCCTTTCAGGTCCATCATCAGATCCAGCTCTGTATGGGCTTTAGCTTTTCTAACCCCATTCCCACATGCTTTCATGGTGTCTTAGTATTTCACTGGGGTTGACTGTTACTGCTGCTGCTGTAGAAGCCTGTGCCTCCTTTTATATAACAGTTTAGTGAGGAGCTTCTTCTTCCACACAGGCTTCTTGCTGCCCCTTTGCTTGATTTCCTACACTCTTTTGAGTTTGCAGGAGGGGACTTTTGAATATCAGCCACAACTGCTACCTGTTTTCTGTGCTATTTCCCCTAAAATTCTTCCAAGAAAATCTGTGAACTGGACAAAACTTTTAAAAGTTCTTTTGCTAGTTAGAAATAGTAAGTGGGAAAAGTTTCTAAGCTTTTGTGTGTTTTTTCTTCTTTTTTTTTTTTAAGCTTAGTAGATGGCTTTATTTCATTCTATTTTTCTCTGGAGGAACGATGGTGACTATTGGTAAAGAAATGATGCTAAACATGCACAAGGGAAAAAACCCCACCCACTATAATATAGTGAAATACAGAAACAGGAGTTTCTGAGATCAAACTGCTGGTTTCTGACTTCACATAAGATCAGGAACTGGTAATATTCAGGCACATACAGATTGAAGTATATGTGCTTTACTACAGTGGATATTTACTTTAAAAGAATGATAGTTATTTCACTGGCTAACTGTCTTTGCTACTTAACCAAAGCAGGCCTAAAATATACCTGCAGAAGCGTGCTGGGTAGGATTGCCCTGACCATACCAGCAGGAACAGAACTGTAAATGAAAACTCCTGATCACTATATCACAACAGAGGAAGGAAAATACATCTTCAGTGTAGAAAGCTCACATCTGAGAGAAGCCCTGTGAACTGGCAAATAATGGCATAAGCTGTCAGTGGATGGTGTTCAGCTCATTAGGACATTCAGAGAACAAGCATATACTGGGGAGAGAGAGCACAATATCTACAAAACATGCCTTGAGAATTGTTTTCTTTGTTACCAGTGAGAATAGTTTGGGATATTTGTTATTGAACAATTGCTCTGAATTGCCCTAATTCAAGAAAAAAATCTGTAAGTTCTATAATGAAACTTATCGATTTTCATTACCTTTTTAAAAAGGCCTGAGTTAATTGTAGCTTTTAGTAGTTTGGGGAGAAAATTAGAAAGGAGTTTGCAGTTACTTAGAGATTAAAGGGACGAAATTCACATTCAAGCATCTAGTGGTTTTCTCAAAACTGAACTCCCAAACCACCACATTTGAAGACTGATTGTCAAATACTCTTTAAATAGGCTATGTATTTTTTACTTTTCATTGCATGTTATAACCTCAAAAGTATAATTTCTAAGCTGCTTTTGTCCTCCATATCCACAGGTCACTGATTTTTACCTATGCTACTACTGGAACTTGAAATTACTTTGCTTTCACGTTTGTGTGTTGAAGGTCTCTGAACTCAGAGCAGGATTTGGACCAAGCCCTGCTCCCACATGTTACCTATACATGTCTCTTCCCAGACCCATGTGGAGGCTCAGAACTACTTTCTTGGCGTAACTCTATGGTCAGCCATCAGAAATGTGCCCTCAAGCATTTTGAGTCATTCTGCCAAATTGTCTTTTACAATATTTTCATCTGTGACTTCTAATATTTCTGCCTGTGTGGATATGATTTCATGAATTTAGGTAATTAAGAAGAGTTTCTCCCATGATATCTATCTATCTATCTACTTATCTATCATCCATCTATCATCTATAGATAGATATGATATCTATATATAGATACGATATAAAGCATATATATATATAATTGATATGTAATATAGAGCAGGAGTATCAGAAAGAGGGAATCCAATTCACATCCATTCTTGATTCAGCTTTGAGATGGATATAAACAGGACAAAGAACAATTGGAGGTGATGAGCTGGAACAGGTACCGTGGAGTTCCTGTTGTGAGAAATAAAGCAATGTTTTACTGAAGCCAGAGTGACTATGGGGGGAGAGACTAACCCTTTTTTCTTGTTTATAGCTGCTTATTGCTCAGATGTGGTTCAGACTGTTCCTTGCACCTGTACAGATTTGTTAAGAACCAATAGGAAAGGCTATGCTAAAGATTTGCCAAAAAAGGAAGAAGATGAGGGGGCAATGGGGGAGGGAGACTTGGGGTAAAAGTAGGCGGTCTGGAGACAATGTAAGTCCCTGAGTACCCAGCCAGTGGGAAAGAGGACAGGGACCAACCCCAGCCGGAAGAAGGATGAAAGGTTGCCAATTTTGGTGAGTGGTGTGTCTCCCTGGAGAGAGACACCCAACACAGCTAACTAGTTTAATAAAAAAGTTTTGCTTTGGTGACTTTTTCACCTCTCAAATTCATCAAGTAGTTTTCTCACACTGTTGAAGGTCAAGACCTAGAACGGCATCTATCCAATATGGCAGCAGGGAATGACATTAAGCTGAATTAAATTCAAGTGTGTTACTTAATTCAGAAACTGAATTGGGATTGAGAATATCAAACGTGTTGAGAAATGGGATTAAAATTCAAGTGCTTTATTCTCATTTTTCTTAGGAATACTGAAGTAGACTTAGGATGTTCCAGAGGACTGGCCGGTGGATGTACCACATTGTTAAGTGTCTCAAGGTTGGCCTGAGGCTATTATTATTTGTCCACAGCAGTAGAAATGTACAGCCTGAAAACCGAGATTTCAAGTTTTAGGTTTTTGAAATTTGATTTTACAGGATGGTTCCTTTATTGAACTTAATTTTTTTTTTTTTTTTTAATTTCTTTCTGAAATAAGATCATTCTGAGTCCTAAGAAACTTGTCCCTATAAATAAGCCCTAGTCTGGGAGAGGTTTTTAGGGAAGATGAATGTACGATTCCTATGCGCTAACTCAGGTCAAATGGGGACTGCCCAAAGACTGAGACTATATGAGTGTCAAGCACAGAATTTCATGTGCTGCCAAGAATGCCCCTCAGCAATTTTGAATCTAAATGTTCCAAGCGTATGTGCTGTTCTCCCCAGGAACATGGTAGTGACATTGCACCAATAAGCAGTAGGACCCTGTAAAGAGATATGTGATACTCAGAATGTGTTGATTTGCCTTTCTGTTTGCTGCTCAATGCCTCAGCCAAATTCTACAACTCTCTGAAAAGAAGTTGTAACCAGGTGGGGGTCGATCTCTTCCTAGAAGTAAGAAGTAGGATGAGAGGAAATGGCCTCAACTTGCACCAGGTGAGGTTTAGGTTCACCTAAAGGATAGTCAAGAGTAGTCAGCCCAGGAAGATCCACCCACAGTCCCCAAGTTCCGCTCAGTTATGGTTCCGCTCAGGGTCTGCCTACTTGGTCAAGAGAGTCTCGAGTAACTCCTGAGACTGGGTTTGCACTCGGGGGTGAGGATGCCCAGAACCCGCTGAGTCTGGCAGTGGGGATAAAGGTTGGGGCTTGAGGGTTGGGAGATGTGGCTGTGGGGGCTGTGACATCACAGAGGCTGGGTCACAAGGGGAGCTGTGTCCAGGGTCACCACCAGGCAGCCCTAGCCCCAACACAGTTGGACTCAGGGGACCAGTGAGTGCCCACATAGGGGGAATGCTGGGCTGGATGGGGGTTGGGCCAGATACCTAGGGGCTCTCTAACCCAGAGCGAGAGTTGGGACCCCCAGAGCATGGCATAGTTCTCCCTTTGGGGCTGGGGAAAGAGGGCTCAGGGCTCTCAGTGGTGCCAGGTGTCCAAAGAATCTTTCTGGGTGGGACAGGTGTCCCCAGTCCCCTGTTCTCTCCCACCCAGACCTGCTCACCCCCTTTTTTCCCAGCAGGCCATGTCTCCAACACTGGTCCTCATTCTGGCTCTGTTGACCATCCATCCTGGGTTGAAGCTGGACTACCAGATGGATGTGGACACAGCCAAACAGATGCTGGAACGGGAGAATTACCTACATCAGCAGATGACTTGGCTGCTGCAGGAGATTGAGGAGGGGAGCACAGACATGGTGGAAGGCCCACTCCTTTCTGCCCCGCGGCAGCATTGGCTGTTTTGGAGCCCTGCAGCAGCAGTCCTGGTCCTGCTCACTGGGGGCTGCTGCTGGCTGGCCAGGAGAAGGAAGCGTGTCTCTGCTAGCTGCAGGGAGCAGGAGAGTTCCAGCAGCAAGGACAAAGGTGACAAGAAGGAGAACTCCAGAAGCAAGGAGGCCAACAAAAAGGTGAGCTCCCACAGTGAGAAAAAGACCAAGGAGCAGGAGAGCTCCGTCTGCAAGGAGAAAGGCGACGAGCTGGAGAGCTCCAGAAGCAACAAGAAGGCCAAGGAGCAGGTGAGCTCCAGGTGCAAGGGCAAAGGTGATGAGTGGCAGAGCTCCAGCACCAAGGACAAGGCCAATGAGCAGGAGAAGCTAAAGGGTCCACACAGCAGTGTTAGCTCTTTGGCTGTACCAGTCCCGTCACCAATGGACACATTCAAGGTAAGGCTGGACAGGGCTGTCAGCAACCTGATCTAATTGAGAATGTCCCTGCTCACTGCAGGAAGGCAGGGGGTCAGACTCGATGGCCTTTAAAGGTCCTATTCTAATGCAACTATTCTGTGATTCCATAGCAAAACTTGTCCAGCACGAGTAAACAACTGAAGGAGCTGGTGGGTGACCTCCTTGGCATATGCCGAATGTTTTCCAAGAGGAACTTCATGCCAGAATTGCACCCAGCCACTGAGACCAGCACCTCTGAAGCCTGGAGCATCCATGAGAACAGCATCCACTACCGCCTGCTTGTGATCCTGCGACCACCCCCTGGGCACTCGTTCAGCCTGGGCACCACAGAGCAGCTGCCAGCAAGTCGCTCCTGCATCCGTGTGGTGCTGGAGTGCTTGTGCTTGAGGGAGCAGCTTCTGGGGAAGACGTGGTGCTTTCTCCATCGGTCTGGTGACCAGCTGCTGAGTGATCAGGACTCGTACCTCCTGGGCACCCTGTGCACAGGCAACTACCTGGATGTGAAGAAAGTTGTCTGCTGGGTCCAAATGTTGGTGACATCAGCCTGGCTGCTTTTGCCTCAGTCACGGCACTGCCAGCTCATGGTGCTGCCCTCCTGCCAGTCCTGCAAGTTCCAGCTGACAGGCACCCCAGGGATGCAGATCACCATGGAGATGGTGTTTGCAGTGCAGCAGGGCAGCTCAGGTGCCTACGTGAGCCTCGAGTAGGCAGCAGCCAGTCTTGCCAGTAGATGGTGGGGCTGGAGAGCAGCCGCCTGTCAGACCCAGAGCAAAGGCCACCCAGCAGGACAATTTCCACCTCAGAGCTGTGGACACCCTTCCCTGTCACCCAAGTGGGTGATGACACGGTTCAAGAGGAGCTCAGCACAATCAGAGCTTGGGCAATCTCTGCCTGCCCAGCTGAACCACAAAGCATAGAAGTGTTGGAGGATAGAAGTATAGAAGAATACAAGCATAGGAGCAGAGAAGAATAGAACTGTAGGACCAAAGGAGAGTAGAAGAGTAGAACACAGAAGAGTCAGAGAATAAAAGCATAGGGGAATAGAATAGGAGAAGTGTAGAAGTGTAGAGGTAGAGAAGAATAGAACTGTAGGACCATAGGAACATAGAAAAATAGAAGCATATAAGCATAGAAGTGTAGAAGAGTAGAAGAGTAGAAGCATAGTACCATAGAGGAGTAGGAGAGTAGAAGAGCAGAAGAATAGAACCATAAAACCTTACAGTTGTTTGGGTTGTAAGAGATCTAAAAGATTATTAAAGATATTCCAGGAAGGAAGGAAGGAAGAAAGATGTAGGAAGATGTCTTCTTCACTGTTTGCCTCTCTGAGAAGAAAAGATGTTCCTATTAATAGTTCCCAAAAGCTGACTCAAGAAGAATGGTGTTGATCGCAGTACTGAATCCATAGGCTACGCTAGTTTCACAACCAGTAACATGGTTGAATTCTAAGATAGTACTACAAAGTACACCAAAACAATCTTAGTCCAGACCTCATGGAGGGAGGATAAACATCTGGAAGCAATAGGACAAGAGGAAATGGCTTCAAATTGTGACAGGTAAGGTTTAGGTTGTCTATTAGGGAACATTTCTACATCGAAAGGGTTGGCACAGGCTTCCCAGGGCAGTTATGGCATCACCATCTCTGGAGCAATTGAAAGCCCTGGAGATGTGGCACTAAGGGACATGGTTCAGCAGTGGGCTTGGCAGTGTTGGGTTAATGGTTGGATTCAAGGATCTTAGCGAGCTTTTCCAACCTAAATGATTCTATGATTCTGAAGGAGACATGGCTAAAGCTACCCAGACTATAAACATACACCTGATGTGCTACCTAGAGAAATCAAAAGAGCTTTTCAATGTGTCTTTTAAAAGTGTGTGAGGAAGGGCTTATTCTGGGTTCATGATACTTGTCATTCATGTAATGCTTAAGCACACCTGGTTGGTACTTCCTTTTAGGTGGTGGGGACTTTTCTAATAGCCACTTGTAGGTTGTGAGGATGGTGTTGGCTATTTTCAGGGTAGTTTGGAAAAGAGGAGGAATGTGAAGTGGCCTGGTCCACCACAGGCTGGTGGCAGTCTTGAAGAAAAATGAGTTGAAGAAACAAGATCAGTAGTCCACGTAAAGTAAACATGCTTGCAGTCCAGAAATCAGAAAAAATGGAAACAATAAAAATTGGGAAACTTTCCTACTAGGGCTCTACAAGGTTTTTTTAGTTTTAATTTCCCCTCATATTTCCCTCCCTTTTATCACTCAACGTTTCCTGCCTTTTTCTCCCCTCACATTTCTCACCCTTTCTGCCTCATGTCTCTTGCCCTTTTCCCCTCACATGGTGCTAGAGTGCTTGTGCTTGAGAGAGCAGCTGCTGGGGAAGATGTGCTTTCTCCACCGGTCTGGTGACCAGCTGCTGAGTGATCAGGACTTATACCTCCTGGACACCCTGTGCATAGGTGACTACTTGGAGGTGGCAAAAGTCACCCACTGGATTCAAATGCTGGTGGGATCAGCGTGGCTGCTTTTGCCTCAGTCGAAGCACTGTCAGCTCATGGTGCTGCCTTCCTGTTGGTCCTGCGGGTTCCAGCTGACAGGCAGTACTGGAGAAAAATGACTCAAAGTAACGAGGTCAGTAGTCCAGAGGTAAACACGCTTACAGTCCAGAAATGAGAAAAATTGAAATCAGAGGTGTCAATCTTTCCTGCTAAATCTCTACAACACACCAAGCCTGTATACCGAAAGCTTCCAAATTTGAAAAATCCTCTAGAAACTGACAGAGAGACATTCAAATGACTGAATGCCTTAGGAACGGATGTCTTAGTTATTTTTTGGCATTGCTGTTCTTGTTCTACATCTCTGGTAGGTGGAGATGTCATCCTAAAAAAGAAGATCCAACTGTTAATTGCAAAATTTATGCTTTTCCTTCTACATAAAATCTATTCATTACTGTTAAATGAGAAAAGAATACTTCCTACAATAATTTGTCTTTGTAACTATAAAACTCTGTTCTAAAATAAGAAGGAATTAGACTATTGACTGAGTCTTGAGATGGATTGCCTCATTTTTTTTAATGAGCTTGATGCAAACTATTTTTAAACATGTAGATTGGTAGGAAGGGGGAAAAAAAAGAACAGAAAAGAACCTATGTCTATTACTTTAAACATGCTAGAGGGAAAAGAGCACAAGGGAAATCAGAATCCTTTCTTGAGTATAAATATGCTGACACACATCAAATATTCATCAACTGAGTCTTTCTATTGGTGTCCAGGATCCTGTGCTTCAGAGATAAAAAGGAAAGGAAAAAAAAGCAAACACCATAAAGAAAAAGATGTGGAGTAATCTATCCCAAATTAGATGTCAGCCTGACCTATGACACAGACTGGCTGAAGTCTTGAAGCCCTGAGTGAATTGATGGTTAAAATTTAAATGTGATATAAAGTAATGAATATAGGTCAAAGGGACATAAAGTAATGAATATAGGTCAAAACTTTCTGAGATGGCTCCTCAGATACAGAAAGAGAATCCTTTTAGTTTAAATGCTGCCGTACAGCACTAAGCTATGATAAAAAGAAGTCAAAGATGTCCATCCATGATTTTTTATATGTGCTTCATATGACAGTATAAGAGTCAAAGGTAATCTGTCTGGCAGCAATCCATCCATGTGCCTTCTTAGGATGTCTTTAACTAGGCTGTAGCACATGGACAGCTTCTAACTACTGTCATTTCAGTTAATGATGCTGCTCAGATGTAGAAATTACTCATTTCCATTCTTCATAGTGTCATAACACCAGTGGCACCCAGTAATAGAATACAAATAAAGATAAATTATAAAATAGATTATTTACTTGTGAACCCTATGAAGACATTAGTTTGGGCTTGTTATAAATATAACACTAAAGCTTGCATTTGGGAAATGAACTAACAGGGTCTCTTTCTAGAATCATAGTAAATCTGTGTGGGCACAGTCTCAGTTTCATATGAAAAAAAAAGAACCTCCTCTGATTACTAATCATGATGGGTATTTTAAAAGGTCAATAAAGTGGAAAACAGAATTCAATTCAATCTATTGGGAGCAAGAATTAGCTCATGCAAAAAGTTAAACTGGTAACAGTGAATGTTAAATATGGAGGAATTTTATTTAATTATCAGCTCAGGTTATAAATCAATCCAAATGTAATGAACATGATATATGACTCCACCTCACTGCTGCATTACTTAAAGTTATACACTGAGAAACTTTTTTGATGGAATCTGAAAAGGTAGAAAAGACAAATTACTAAGTTCAAACCTTGCTTTCACTGATGAAAAATAGTTAAATGGTGACAGCAACTTACGGTTTCTCAGTGTAGGTTTTTATTAAAGACATACTATTGTGGTTTTTCATCATTGTGGTACGTCAATCAGTTGTACCCTTCACCTGATCAGTTATAGAGTTTGAAATCTTCTCCTGCTCTTTTTACAGGCCTCAGGAAGGGTACAAGCAAATAATTCCTTTGTCCATGATGGTGGAGGTTTGTGTAGGGTATCCAGAACATGGAGAAAATTGAGGCAAGGATCTTCCAAGGTGGACTGTGAAGTTTTCCTTCTCCAGCAGTCCCTGTTTGTTTTGTCACTTGCATTTACAACAATTAAATAAAAAATAAAATTATATGGAGTTTTCTTGGAACACCCTTACTTTTTTTCAGAGGATGACTGTGCCTGCTCAGAAGTTTCAATAAACATATATACTATAACTTCCCAGGGAAAGAATTATCCTTTTTTCTCCAATGCCTCCATAATCAAAATATGTTACCTTCCAATCTTGTTCATAGAAGGGTGTTGTGTACAAAAGAACCATAAAATAAACTAATCTTGTATAGTCAATCAAGTATGAATGATAAAAACTTCAAATATGACTCTTTTTTAGAACTGGTCAACTGTATGCATTGCCTATGAATGTAATAAAACCTGAATATTTTGACTGATGTTGTTAGGAAATAATGGAGTTTTTACAGGTTCTAATAACCAAGACATTTACTTTTCCTTGTAAATTTTCCTTCCGGTGGACTGTGTTCAAAACCAGATGTTTTTAGGATCTTTCCAAAATTTGGAGATATATAAAAGTATTTCATTCTCATGCAGCTTCCTTAGTGATATTGTTTATTTTTATGAAATTTTCCAGGGATAAAATTCTTTCTATCCATAAAGATGGTGCTAGTAATGCCAAGGTCATGGTTTCAATCCCCATATGAGCCATTCACTTAGGAGTTGGACTCTGTGATCTTTGTGGGTCCTTCCAACTCAGAATATTCTGCAAAAGCTTTAGATTTTTATTATATTTACATCCAAAGCTGAATATTTTCAGGAATTTACAGATAATTTCAGTTGAAAGCAGATTTCTCTCCCCTACCCATCTCCATGAGTGGAAAGAACATGGGAGAGAAGAAACACTGTGCCAAGGTATTTAGGGGAACAAAGAGCGTTTCACAGTTGCTCAGTGATGATGCTCTTCTCAGCCCTGCAGGTGCTGAGCCTTCTGGGAGATCCCAGGAAACAGCCTTGCATCCATGTCTGCCCCTTCCTGCTCTGCACATCATAGTACTCTGCTTCATCAACATCCCTAAGGAATCCGGGTCTTGAGTTCTGACATAATTTAGGCACTGATCCCTTAGAACCACCTCCTGGCCTCACCAGAGGTTCAAATTTTGGGTGTGTTTCAGCTGAAACAGTTTGGAGTGAGCAAACTGACATTTTCCATAAAACTTCGGAGTTTTGTGAAAAGACTCACACTAAGTCCACTTCATTATATAATAATAGCAAGACTAAAAACAATGGCAATAATAATTTTAGTAATATACTGTTATATAGCCATAATTGTACTATATCACAATAACTAGGTAGTTACCATAGATGTGTGAGACAATGACCAAGGTAAAGTTATATTTTCAATGCATTTGAGTAGCCCCTGGGGGTTCAGGACATACAGAACTCTTAAAATAAACACTTTTTTGATCATTATCACCTGAGAAGTTAGGTAAATGGAATAAAATTTTAGTCTTTGCTTCAACAATTTTTTTAAATAAAACAGATAATTAGTAGTAACTTTTGAAAACAAACAATCATTTGTAATTCCTTTTACAGTAGACTATCACTGTCTTGCAACTCTTCCTACCAATTTGGAGGTAGTATTAAATTTGACAAATCTATTTGGAGGTGATAATAGAAAAAGTGGTAAAATTGTTCCAGGTTATTGTGAGTTTGTTTTTGATGCAGGCAGGTTTTTGTGTTGGTTTTTTTTTTTTTTTTTTTTTAATTTGTTCTGTACTGTTATTGCATTTATTCAGCCCATTAATATCTATCTGGATGACTTTCTTGAGCAAGGAGATTTCTGGGAAGCTTTCAATGATCATTCAGACAAATGGTAGTGTTTAAATACCTATGGAAAATCAAGCTACCAGTAGCCTCCAGCACACTCAGGGAGCTTGTCTCTTTTCCTGAAAATGTCACTACCTTTAAGCTATTTTTGGATGGGTCAAAGGGTGCAAAGTTAGGGTGAA